GAGGCAGACACACTCTGTCAGTTTAAATCTAGATTAAAGACCCATCTCTTTAACCTGGCCTACAGATAATATACTATCACATTTCTATCATTCAAATCCATTAAAGGATTGTTAGGCTGCATTAATTAGGTCAACCGGAACCAGGAACACTTCCCATAACACCCGATGAACTCGCTACATCGTAAGAAGAATGGCATCTATGCTAATATTAGTCTCTTTCACCGTAGCCACCCAGATCCAGTCCATATCCAGACCAGATGATGGATCAGCACCTAGAGATGACCTCTACAGCCCTGAATGTCAACGGAGACCATGTCAACTAGATGAACCCTAGAGACAGATCCCTGTGCAGACCTCATCGGCCATCGGCTCAAGACCACAAGAACCAGACAAGTCCTCTATTCAATCTGAGGTGCGTTGCATCCTGGAATTAAACCACACCATGCTGGTTTCGTCTGGCCAGAAGAGAACTGGCCCCCCACTGAGCCTGGTTTCTCCCAATGTTTTTTTTCACCATTTCTGTCACCAATGGAGTTTTGGTTCCTTGCCACTGTCGCCTTTGGCTTGCTTAGATGGGGACACAATTTCTGGCAACATTGTTGACTTGAATGCACAAACACTATTGGAAGATAACTGAACTGAGCTGGACAATGACATCACTGAATCAACAATGAACTGACTTTAACTGATAAACTGACTGTTTTCTATCGTCCTCTTGCATTATAAGCACACATTTTTCTTGTTTAACACTGTTTTGTTGTGTCAGCTGCTTTGACACAATCTGTATAAAGTGCTATATAAATAAAGGTGACTTGACTTGACTTGAGTGCTAAATTGACATAAATGTTGCACAAATGCATTAAGAGATCATTTAAACATCAAATCTAAAACACAAATTCCATGAATCCACTGGTCCATGCTACCCATTTAGATATTAAAGTAAGTGAATCACACTTTTACCAAGACACATAACCCCATCACCAATGTAGCCAGCTTTACATGTGCATCTCCTTTCACCAGGCGATGTTTTTGTGCAGTTTGCATTTATGGAACATCCTCCATTGTTTTTGGTACATGGGTCAAATTCTGTGGAACACAAATCATTCACAATAAGATCAGGAATGTGTATTGGGAAAGTAAACAGTATGAATGTTGATTTCACTGTCACTGAGGGGGGGGGACTTCAATAACAAACTTAGCAAAGAACAACAAACAAACCTTTGCAAAATGTCCCATTACCCTTATAACCAGCTATGCAGGAACAAGTTGGAAGAGCTCCTGAACCTACTGAGATACAGCTGGAAGAAAAATATTGTATCATAAACACTGATCAATGTGTTAAAAATGTGTCTTATATTTATGTTTTCCATTCTTACTTAGCATTGACATCACAAACTCCACCACAGGCATCATTGACTACCGCTGAAATTGAGAAAAGTTTATGACGTCATGTGCATGAAAGTGAGAAACATGCTATCTGACATAAAATAAGTTTAACCTTAATACTGACCAACGGAGCAATTCACTCCCTTCCAACCTTTGTAACAAATGCACTGCCCGTTTCCCTCCATACCATCCAAACATTTGCCATGTTCACAATGACATTCTGTCAAATGAAAGCCAAGGGTTTGATGAAAAATGCTTCAACAGAATGCCTACAGAAAGACAGTAGAATAGCAAATTGCTCATTGATGTTACCAGACTTGCAGTCTTTTCCATATCTCCCAGGTTCACACATCTCGCAGGCCGTTCCGTGGAAGCCCTCATTACAGAGACACTCCCCACTGCCAAACAGCCCATCCTTGCATTGACCATTGTTGGAGCACCAGTTATCCACAGTCCCAGGACATTTGGAGCAATCATGCCCAAAGTATCCTGGACAGCAAGAATGGTCCTAGGAATAAATTTACTGTGAGATTTGAATCTGAATCAGCTCCGAATCTGGATTTGTAAACTGAAGTGTAAACCCAATACCAAAACACAACACTCTGGCCCGAAATACATAAATGCAGGCATTTCTAGCTGCACAATTTCATGCTTTGTAGTGTTCAGAGTGCAAGAACGGCTTGCATTCTCACTGTTGCCACAAGTGGGAACAGGGGATTGGAGAACGGTACAAACTCTTCTTCTACACTTAGTTTTCTCTTTCAGATCAATGACTGTCAAGATGGAGCAACAGTTTGAAGGATGTCTTGAGGAGCAAGTTAGTTAAACTATCAACATGTTTATAGTTACCTGAATAATAACAAATGGTTTAACAAGAATTCATTAGATTTGTTTTGAAGGTGTGGATAGAGCCATGTCAGTTTGAAATCAAGAAAGAATTTAAGAAATTTAATGAATACAACCGGATCCAACTATGGAATTTTCATTTCCCAACCATAGTAAAAATGTCCAAATCTTTGAAGATAGAAAATGAAGTACCTTAGTTGTTCTCAAACATTCCATGTGACAGCCCGGCACACTCACTCTCTTTTTTCCAACTCTTGTCCTGTATTTGCAATTTGACTTCATATTTTGAGGGAACTTTGGTTGTAGCTGAAGAAACGAGGAGAAGGATGCATCATAAAATTCCTTTCACATAAATGCTAAACTAAAACATCAAAGGACTATATCATCTTACAGGTTTGGCATTATAAAGGCATTTTGGTTCAGCGTTACAATCTCCACAGCGACCCTGCAAAGACAGCAAACGTTCCTTAACATTGTCTGTTGCGTCACTTCAAGATTCACCTTGAAAAATTCAACGGAAACTTACAGAAATTTTTAAAATCACATCTTTACTGCAGTGGTTCTTGTGGAGGTCTAAGACACGTGGGATCCTGAACACTGTGCCATGCCTCGTCTCAATGAAGCTTCCATTTATGGGAACGTCATTGGCCATTGTCTGTAGTTTAGGACTAGTTAGTCACGACTAATTTCATCTAAGTGTTGTACAGAATACGAGTTATTGTTGGTTGTGCAATACCTGATTATCAGTGTCCACAAAAAACATGATCTGAGTGCCATTTCCCAAAAATGTATTTTTAAAAAGTCCATTGCCCAAGTGTTCAGGAAAGAGTTGCTCGCCTAGAATTACGTGATATTTTACGATGTCTTGGCTCTGTTGAAAAGAGACACTTTCATCAATGAATTTTATGAGTGAGACATGTCTAGCATCATTTCAAAAAGTTCCACTCACCAGTTGTGTCGAGTTTGTTTTTTTCAGGTACTCCTGTATGGCACTGTCATGTGGGACAAAAATGGTGTAATCTCTAGTTGGGATACGGTTTTCCAAGTTGTAGAGCTAAAAAAACAGAGACAACTATGCTTATGTAACAAAGTTATTCTGTTACTCTTGTACAGTTTTTGAAAATATTGAGTAAGTAATATTTCTAGGCAAAACACACCACCGCTGTCTGCCTGAAAAGGCTGAATTCTGGCGTGTCGTTCAGGAGCTTCATCAAACTGGGAGGCGGTGGAGGGAAATCAGATAGAGGAGGTCGAAGAACCTGTAAGCAAATTTGTTCAATCACGTTGTGCCTCTGCAGATGAACACAGAAATGTTGTATAGTAATATTTGTTTAAATAAATCACATGATGTTGCTACAACATTATTGTAAATTTAATAATTGAAAAGATGAACTTACTAGAAGGAAGCGGTTGAAACTATAAAACGCAGAGTTTCCATCTAGCTCCTGAAAATAAAAACAATAATAAAACGATGAACAACTTAATATGTTTCCATTTTAAATGCTGATTTTGATCGAAATCAGTTTTTAGGAAAAAAATCTATTGTGAATGTGTCCATATATGTTGAATTCATATGTTTTTTTTTGGAAAAACTTGAAGAATACGGTATTTTATTTATGTTTTGACCTTTTATTGTTAATTTAAAAAGAAATATGCTAATTATAAAAAAAAAATTCATTTCTTTTTTCAATGAACTCTCATTCTATCTGACATACTGTACACCATTTTTCAGTCAAAACGTAATTTGTACTTTAGTTTGTTGATTGTGTATGTTGTGATTGTGTTCATTTGGTTTTGGTTTCAAAATGAAAAATAATGTATGTTTTACTTAGTTTTGTTATTAATTCTAAATTTTAAGAATTTAAATATTTAACATTTAAAATTATATTGCTATTATTTATTCCTAAACAATTGTTTGAAGCCTAAAAATTATGTTATTGATAGCTGATTTATAACAATTAAATTAATGCATAAATGTGTAATCTTACCATAAGCATGTTTCCATAACATGTGACTCCATCGCCTTCATATTCGCTTCGGCACACACATTCACGTATTCCTGGGCTCTTTAATTTACATGTGGCCTAGACACATTATCAAACAGTTACGCCACATTGCACGCTAGCTCTTGCACCTATAAAGTGCAATTTCAGCAGAATCTCGCCAGCTTCCATATTTTGACAGATTGTTCAGACATGTACAGATATATTTAACAGATAAATCTGCAAGCATGAAATACAGACCAGAGAATGGCAGCCTCCGTTATCTGACAAACAGGGGTTGACAATTTTACAGATGATGCCATCTCCCATGTAGCCTTTCCTGCAGCTGCATTCATTCTGAACAGAAAAAGAAGTTGAACAAAACTCAGTTCTGGGTTTGCAATATTCATTTATAGTTAAAGTTCTTGGATGTGTTTTATACAAGTATTAATTCAGTCTCAGAGTTTTCTCTTAAAATTTATTTGAAGAAATGCAAACTTACATAAATATCTCAATATAATTTTAATATAATATATCAATATAATATAAAATAACTGCATAGCAGCTCAGATCACATGAAATTCAAAGAATTTGATGAAAAATGTGTTTATATTGAGATCTCTGTCTATGGATCTAACTACTGATTTTGGCAAATATGGGCAAAGTATGAGATTGTTGAGATGTCTAGCGCTTGTATTATGTTAAATTGTGAGTACAGTTGTTATGTTCCAGATCAGATTGATCTTTTTTTCTTTTTTCTTTTTTTTACAAAATGTATATTGTAAACAGTATTTTTGTGCACTTTCCTGAAGCTCAAACATGAGATCATGGGTTTGACACCAAGCAAAATTCACATGCAAGAAGTGATAAAAAATGTACAAAAGCATAAATGTAAATACCTTCAGATGGTAGTGAAACTGACATAACAATATACTTGTTTTTTAAACTCTGTGCACCTGCTTTTTTTAAAAATTTGTGGGTCAAATCGACATTATAACTGCAATAGAATTGCAGCACACACTGGCGGGAAGTCGTGGCCTAATGGTTAGAGAGTTGGGCTCGTAGCCCAAAGGTTGCGGGTTCGAGTCTCGTACCGGCAGGGATTGTAGGGGGGGGGAGTGAATGTACAGCGCTCTCTCCCACCTTCAATACCATGACTGAGGTGCCCTTGAGCAAGGCACCGAACCCCCAACTGCTCCCCGGGCGCCGCAGCAAAAAAAATGGCTGCCCACTGCTCCGGGTGTATGTGTGTGTGTGTGTGTGTGTGTGTTCACTGCTGTGTGTGTGCACTTTGGATGGGTTAAATGCAGAGCACTAATTCCTAATACTTGGCCACATGTCACGTCACTTTCACTTTCACACATCCCACAACACCTCAGAGTGTTGAAAAATTTCAGGCATGTTAGTGACTCTAAATGAAATTTCTCACACTATTTCAAGAAAAACAGGTTAATTTTTGACAACACAAATATGTTTTTTTTAGGTCAAATTGACCCGGACATAACATAAGGGCTAGAGAAGACACGTGTGAACCTCCAAGATGCAAAAGCCTTTCAACAGGAGCTCCATTTAATCTCAGTGCTGTCTAGGAGAAACAATGGAGATATTATAGAGATTGTGATTTTTCTGTCCTACAGGTTAACTGTATCCTCACAGCTTGTTCACTATTACCTGTCCTGGTCCGGTGACTGTGCATTCTGCATTTTCATGACATCCACCACGAGTCTCGCTCAAGCAGTTATTGATTCCCACACATAAACGTCCATCACCTGTCCATCCTTCCATACAAGCACAATTCACCATTCCTGCATCGTACATACATCTGGCCTATAAAACACACACATACACACACACAAACCCTGAGGCAAGCTCAACATGAGTTCTAGAAAGTTATTAGAAAGTCCAATAGATTCTAGCAAATCAGTTCATTCTATTAGTGCTGAAAAGTCGGATTCATTCAATTGAATCAGATGGTTTGTTCATTTCATGTAAATGAACAGATTAAAATTATTCACTGACTCGGATCACTGTATTTACATCTGTATATACATATATCATATTTTCAACTTTATTATGCAAATTATGGCATGTTTATTCTATTCTATTGTTTATTCATTCAAAATCCCTAATTGTTGTGCTAGAAAAACTACAGATCTGATTAAAATGTAAATGAATTTGATCAGAATGATCAGTTTTCTTTGTTTATAAAAACATATTGCCTTGTTAAGTAACTTCAATATAATTAGCTATATTTTGTTTTACTCTTATTGCAGGTGAAAAATACAGGCCTATTCAATGCTGAAAATCATTTTCAAGTGTCAGTTTGAAACAAAGGAGTGACTTTAAATGACTGCAACTTCTGTATTCTGATATACGGTACTTGTAAAAATTAGGCAGACATTGCTAAAAGCAAACCGCTGGAAAAGGGAAATACATCTGTCTCACATTGACGTCGCAGCCTCCTCTCTGAGGTTGGAGGCAGGGATTGGTTTTAATGCAGGTGTAGCCATCTCCTTCAAATCCAGGCAGACAAACACACCTAGAGCACAATGTATGATAGATCGATAACATGACAAAGATTGATGGCGATTAACAAGTCAGCACATAAACTGGCATTACTAACAGGCTTGCTTCAAAGGGCATTGCAGTAAAAGTATTGGGCTCTTAAAAAAAAAAGTCAAATATTTGCAAAAAATGTTGTATAAATAAATTTAAATAAACCTGACTGTATAATGAAATAAAACAAAATAATAAACCTGATTGTGAAAAGTAAAGTTAAGTAATGTAAATAAACTAAACTAAACTAAAATATCTCAACCGCCAAATATTTGCTGAAATGGTAAATGGTAAACAATGGTAAACTAAACAAATGATGAATTAAAATTAAAGGAAATGAAATAAAATAATGCCCAAAAACAAAACAAAACAAAACAAAACAAAACAAAACAAAACAAAACAAAACAAAATAAAATAAAATAAAATAAAATAAAATAAAATAAAATAAAATAAAATAAAATAAAATAAATACCTGACTGCAGTCTACAATGATCTACACATCATGCTCAAGTGACACTAACATGGTTTGATCGTCATTTGTACCAAATTTCATAAAAATTGCTCATTCCCATCAGGAGTTAAAGCCAATGTAATCAATAAAGCACATTCACTTACATCCTCAGAGGCATTGATCCTTAAGATCTCATTGGCCATTGTTGTAATCTCAGACATGCTAGCAAGCTGGTCCACAGTGACCTTAGGCAAGGATATTTTAAGATTAGTTTAAAAACTCAAACAGACCTTTAGTGTTATTTTAAAACTCACTGACCCACATATTCTACTAAATATCACATTTACAGTCTAGTTTAAAAATGTCATTAAAAAAAATGTGAGACTTTAGTTCATGTCTGTTAACTTTGAGGCTATCTATATGCTAGTGTACTGCTAAACACTGACAATTAAAGTTACCTTTTGAAAAAGCAGTTGGAAAATGGTCCAAAAGTATTGCAGTCTAAATGGTAACTCCATTCTGGCGAAAAATCTCAGGAAATTGACTCAATATTCGTACACTAAGTCCTGAAGCAACCCTACACTTAACCTTGGAGGCAGCAAATGCTAATCTCACAAGAGCTTCACAGAATGATGCTTACCATTTAGAAATGACCCAAAAATATGACCCAAATAAACTCTCAGGCATACACCAATCAAATGCTTTCTAGAATGGGAACATCCCTTCTTTTAATATAACCTGCAAATGACTAGCATTAGCATGAGGCAAATCATAGCTTTGGAGGCTGTGACAAACCTATCACTATTAGCTTTTTAAAAAGCTAATATGTGCTTCCCCAGATTTCAATTTCAGGAAAATTGCATTGGTCAAACCATTTAATTGGAAGCAATGTTCATAAATGCCTCATTTTAAAGTCAAATTAACTGTGGGACACCATTCAGCACATGATTTTGTATGTCAAAGGAGACTCACAGCAGCCAGGGAGAACATATGGTGTTTCAGAAGTGACTGAAGCTTTGGTTTGGCCTTTATAACAAAGAGATGAAAGATCAGTGCGTGAACACATATGAACGTCCTAAAGATTTGATTAAAATAATGAGTAAATATGTGACCCTGGAGCACAAAACCAGTCTTAAGTCGCTTGTGTATATTTGTAGCAATAGCCAAAAAAGTAAAGATCATGTTCCATGAAGATATTTTGTAAATTTCTTACTGTAAATATAACAAACCTTAATTTTTGATTAGTAATATGCATTGCTAAGAACTTCATTTGGACAACTTTAAAGGCGATTTTCTCAGTATTTAGATTTTTTTGCACCCTCAGATTCCAGATTTTCAAATAGTTGTATCTCGGTCAAATATTGTCCTATCATAACAAACCACACATCAATGGAAAGCTTATTTGTTGCTTTATTTCTAGCTTTCAGATGATGTATAAATCTCAATTTCAAAAAATTTACCTTTATGACTGGTTTTGTGGTCCAGGGTCACATATGTGTTCTGAATAATTTGTTTTGTACATATCCAACTTCATTAGAGGTAGAAAACACATAATGGCAGCTCACATCACTCAGCATGTACATAAGACTTCCATCTCTGAATTTGTCTATGGCTGTGTTGGTTGGAACAAACACTGTAAGCGGACCTGAACCTCTGACAGGCAACAGGGCTCCACAATTCTGCAGTAGAAAGAGAAAAAAAATCTTCTCAGTGCTTGGGTTCAGTGGAGAAATGCAGAAAAAGAGTGCGAGAGGAGATCACTCACATCAATCAGAGACAGGAATCGATTGAACCTGTCATCCTCTCTGAAAATCTCCCCGACGGTTTTTGAAGAGAACTTGAGATTGCAGAAAATAACATCTACATTAGAGGGTGTTGAGGTTGGTGCTGTGTGTCATTCATCAGATATTATTAGATTAGCTGGTTGTGAAACAGTTTGAACAGCTTTACCTCCATGTTGTTGTTTGAGGACTCGATATGAGCAAGAGTAAAGGGCTTGTCAATAATATGAATTATTCCATTGGATGCTGGGATATTGCTCTCAAGTAAAGTAAACAACACGTCTGGATCCCTCATCAGGATAAAGTGCTGCAGACACATGCAAAAATCAATGGATTTATGCATAAATATATCAGACAGAAAAATAGACAGAGAATGATGAATAGAACAATAGACAGACATTTATTGATAGAAAGAATGAAAGATAGCATGACGGAACAATATATAATATGATAGATAAAGCGACAGAATGATAGACAGAACTATAAATAGTATAATACATAGAGCTGTAAATAAAAAGAATGAAAGACAGTACTACAGACAGAACGATATGAAGAATGACAGACAGAACAATAGAAATGATTGATAGAATGATAGAATAGGTAAAATAAAAGAACGATAGATAGCACCATAGAATGATAGAGCGATAGATAGAACGATATAAAGAATGACAGAACAATGTAAAAGACGATAGATGGAATGTTAGAACAACAGACAGAATGACAGAAGGATAAATAGAATGACAGAACAGGTGGAATGATAGATACAATGATAGACAGCACAACAAAAAGAATGCCAGGTAGTATGATAGTGTGAAAGATAGAACGATAGACAGAATGATAAAAAGAATAATAGAACGATAGTATGGTGGATGGATGGATGGATGGATTGATGGATTGATTGATAAACAGACATAGATAGATACTGTAGATGGATAGATGAATGGATGGACACCTTTTTTGTTTTGAATCTGATCTTTTCTCCTCCGTACATCCACATGTCTTTCCCCTCCAGATCACTGTAGAGTTTCTGTCCGAGGATGAGGTGATTTTTGCACACTGCATTCAGGACGCTGCTCGAGGCCTTTCCTGCAAGCGTCTAAAGAGCACAGCACTCGTAAACATCTGTTCGCGACAAACAGGAAGTGGTCACAAAAAAAACAGGAAACATTATGAGGACATGAAACACAAACTGCAGGCCACTGTTTGGGTGTTTTTCAGTCTGCTTCAACCCACTTGGAATGGATTCTGTCCCGCAGGAATGAAGGCAGTGAACGGGCCGTGCTGGCTGAGTGTGAACTCACACGCTTGCTCTGTAAAACACAACACACTGTCAGCGCTCTCAATCGTACACTCAAAGTTAGATGAGAAATAAAGAGTGGGGAAGCAGGTCTGGTGATCTCAGCAGACCTACCAAAGAACCGAATGCTTCCAGTGAGGTTTCCTGCCTGCCTGCCCTCTCTGTCCAGCTCCAAAACTCTTTCCATGAGGTTCCCATAGCAACGTCTGCCATCGCCGATCTGCTGAGCGTTGCAGCGGCAGCTGAAAGAACGAAACGTCTCGGTTTATACCCCTGGCCTTCTGCGAGCATCTGAGCAAAGCCTCGCAGCTATTCATGATGCAACAGAATCACTCATTACCGCTGATCTGTTTATCGAATTCATTCCTTACAAAAATTAACCATGGTTTAACTACAAATAAAATTAGATACAAAAAAAAAAAAAAAGCATTCATTTACTATATAAAACATTTTCAATGTCCTTTTAATGGACAAAACAAAGAGAAACAGAGAGGATTCAGAAAATATTTGACACTAAAGAGCATATCATGGTGCTTTTGTATAGGGCTCATGGGGCTGTTATAAATCAATAATAAAAAAATATATAATTATTTGGTCCAAAAAGATATGATTAGTTTTCAATATTCAAATATTTGTGGGGTGAAATGTGACCTAGATGGATTTGGACAGGTTTCGTGAGAATCTTTCTTGTGTCGTTGAAGGATGTGAAAGTGGCCTTTGTCATGTTATCATGAGGGAAGCACCGGGACAGACCTGGGCGTGCCGTCTGAGTTGGTCTCGCAGCGGGCGCTGATATGGCATGAACCCGGTGTGCAGGCCGACTTTTGCGTGCAGCCCTTGGACGGGTCGGACGATTGCATTCCAGGCAAACACACACATTTCGACTGGAGAGAAACACACACACAAAACTCACATAACGACAATCTGCACTGAACTCGTCATTAGTTTCAGATTCAGATTCAGATTCATTGCTCACCTTTCCTGGGCTTGTGAATTCACAGGCAGTGGACTCTACAGGACAGCCTCCGTTATTAGTGTTGCAGGGGTTGATGGGAATGCAGTGTTTGCCGTCTCCTCTGAATCCCTCTTCACACTCACATTGAAACTTTCCACCGCTAAATGAACATTTAGCATTTGTGTCACAAATTGCTGGTGAACACCCGGAACCTGGAACAGGATAGAAAGACATGATGGATAGGAACTAGCCTCTAAAATGGTTGAGAAACTTAAAGCCAAGACAGTTCAGGAAAATACTTTCCTTGTTTTCAGTTTTGAGGTTTTAGTTTATATGGCTTTTCATAATGTGTTGTTTCAGACTAGTAGAAAGAAAACATACAAAAAACACTTTTGAGTGTTTATTTTATTGCACTTTATCTACTTGCGTCTGTTACAGTACATAAAATGTACAGGCCGTTTTATCTAAAAAAAAATGTTTTTTTCTCCACTTCAGTAGCACTTACACCAAAATGTACAGTTTTATTCCCATCTATATTCTAAAGGATTTTACTGAATGGTTTGTTCATATATCATGGGGTTTAATGTTTGTGTGAATGACACTGTGCACCTTCTATATTTAAGTTTTGTCCTCCTCAGCTCGTAGAAAAGCTGTTTGTGATGAGCTTTGATTCATCATGTGACTTTCTCATTTTTTAGCCAGTTTTTGGTGGTTATCAGTGCATTACAATGGTTCAAAACAGATATTAGTACTTCAATATGTTGGTTTATTAACATTACATCAAGGCAAGGCAAGTTTATTTATATAGCACATTTCGATCACAATGGTAATTCTAAGTGCTTTATGTAAAATAATCATTAAAAAAAGTTAATGAAATACGGTATTTTATTGTGAATTTAAGTCTGTAAAACTTAAAATGTTGCTACCACATTTTTTATGGTGAAGTTCTGGCAACCACAGTTGCCGGTATTTTACCGTAAATGTCACAGATTTTTATTTTTTACAGTGTTCGCTTGGTTTTATAGAACACTTTATTCCTAAAATCATGGTGAATATTTTTTTCTGGCTGTTGACAGTATTTTCCCCTCAGTAAAAACATTTAACTCTAATATGTCAATAAAATTAAACGTCTATTTTGAACGTGGCTTTTTCCAATGTTCTGGAAAATGTATGCAAATATTTAATTACAGACTGCCTTGTTTGCATATATAAACATAACATTTCAGAAAACTTGTAATATATATGTTATATAAAAAATAAATATGCAATATAAAAAAATTTTGCAATTCTGAATGCAACCAGTCAGTAAATTATTACCCTATGTCTTGCATTTAAAACTAATGGAAAATTATCCTAAATTTGCTAAATGTGTCTCATACATATACACATTATGTAATGTTTAACATGTAGCTAAACATCGGAAGTACCTATACACGCATTTCCGATCTTCTTGTATTCAGGCAGACATTCGCACACAGCATTTGTGTAGTCTCCCTTACAGTATGAATAGGCTGGGCAGTTTGAACAAGATGAAGAAACTGCACAGGAAACGAAAGGTGTGATTAAACAAAATTAGCATAATTATATTTACTGAAAGTAACTGGATATTTAATGCACCATGGGTACGTACAGACACAATTCCTAAATTACCTTCATCACACTTTGGTCCTGAATATGGCGGCTGACAGTAACATTCACCGTCTCCATTCGGTCCTGAGTTACACTTTCCATTCACACAGCTGCACTCTACAGCAGTTTTACAATTAGACAATTTTATCTCCAAAAATGGTGATTATTATCTTATGCTATCAGAAATCACCACAAATAACAGACCTGAACGGCAGTGGTCTCCATAGGCATTCTCATTCAAACAATTCTGGCACGCAAAACCTGTATATCCCTCCTGAAAAATTGTTGATTATTATTAATATTACTACTATTGTTTATTTTTATTAGATACAAATGTCATTGAACATCGCTTATTTAAATAAATAGCTAAATAAATAAATAAGCATCTATTTCATTGAAAATGTTTTGAATTAATATAAAACTGAAGTAAAAGAAAAGATTATTTATTAATTATTTATTAAGATTATTTAAATAAATAAATACTTTTCTTATTCATGTCAACAAAAACTGTGGAATTATGTAGAAGGAAAAAAACACAACTCAAAAAAGTAACTCTAATGTACAATTAATAATGTTATAATTTATTTATTTTATATTATATTACTTAAAACTTTAATAAATATGTATCTATTTCAACAAAAACGTTTGAATTAACATAAAAATTTAAGTAGAAGAACATAACTCAATTAAAAAAAAATTTAAAAATCTAAAGTAAATTTTAAAGTTTACTTTAAGTAAAATAATATAACTCATATGCACTTACATTACAAACACAGGTGCCATTTCCAGATTCACATGTACCATAACCGTTACAAATCTTTCCAGACCAGCTAGGGCAAGCTAGAAAAACATACAAGACTGGTTAGAAAATTCATAATTTTAGTAGATACTTTCTTACCTAAAGCAACATAAAGTACATTTAACCATATCACCATACTTGACTTGTACAGGGCACTCATACTGTATGATCTGAAAAAGTGTTAGGACATTTACATGATATAGATATTAATTTATATTAAATATTTTACTCACATATCATAATAAGTTATATTTCATTAAAAAAAGCAATGGCATTTTCAAAACACTTTTTATGCCATTGTAACTCACGCAAGCACAGGGAGCCCCAGAAGCCCGGACAGCAGTGCTGGACTGTCGTAAAGCCCTGACAGCTATGAGAGCACCCTGACAGCTCTATCTGACGACTGCCGATTTCCACAACGTATCTGAAGCAGGAGTCAGAACACATTAGACACAAACTTTCTGAGCGAACAGAACGGGAAAGCCTGGATAATCACATACTTGCAGCTATCGGGGTTCTGGGTGATCTTCCCGAACCCTCGCGCGCAGACGACGGCGGCGGAAGCGGCGCAGGATGTGCAGGGAGTCTTGTGAAGGACTTTAACGGGCGCATCGCAGCGATTAGAAACGGCCTGGGAACGACAAAAGGTGACTCTAGAACAGACATTTCGCATCGCTACTGTGGACAAGTAACGTAAACCATTTATAAAAAACACACTACGAATCAAAAACGTTAGGGATTTACGCGAAAAACTATTCTTTCAACGCAAATCTACTCTGAGGTAAAGTGACATTTTCAAATGTTCAAATGTTTATACCACAGTATTTGTACTGTATACTTCATGACATTAAAATATCATGGTATTATCATGGCACACGTCAAAAGCGTGATAATATCATATTCATACCATATGTAGCCTACCATGAATTTTGGACATGTACCATAAGAGTATCATGATATAATTTAGTACTATCATTGGTTACCACTGGTTGTATCTAAAAACCTTGGTATATCCGTAGTATAAATCAAAGTATCATCTGATATCAGTACCATGGCACCACCTCTTTTTGTAAGGCATTTGTACAGTATTTCAAAGATAACCACTGTATTACCAAAGTATTATTTAAACCATATTTACAAAACCACACTAGGTCAGTAGCCTACCATGGTTCAGTAATTAATTACAAAAAAGTATACATAGGACTATGACTACTTCGATTTGTTATGGGTATGTACTTATGGAAGTATACCTTGGAGTACCATGTAAATACCATTATAATTTGTACTACTAAAGTCCAAATACCAAAATGGCATAGTATTTTTTAAATGCATATTCATATGCTATAGTATTTACATGGGCCTTACATAAATACCATGGTATTACCTCGGTGCATGTCCAAAAATCTTTTAACAAATTCTTTAAATACTGACTTAAAGATGTAAACAACCTCTTATCATGCAACTTTCCTGAATGTGTCTATCAAATAACTATAATATAAATCAAAGTACCATTGTATTATCATCTGATAACAGCAATGTACCATGGTGCCACCACTATTTTCCAGGCCCAGGAATTTACATAGTATTATACAATGGTATTACCATAGTACATGTCCAAAAAAGTATTATTAGTTATAAATTATACCACCCTTACAAAAGTGTAATGGGTCAGTACCATGGTACAGTGATCAATCACAAAAAAATGCCAAAAAGTAGACATGGTACCATGGCAGTATCGATTTGTTTTGGGCACTATGGTAGCACTTTTAAAGGCAATACCATTTTACTTTTTTAGTTCATATTCACATAGTATGAGATTTATATGTTTTTTCAATAAATACCATGGTATTACCACGGTACATGTCCAAAAAGCTTTTAACAAATCATTTAAAAAGTTACCTAAAGACGTAAGCGACCACTTTTCATGCAACTTACATGAATGTGTGAAGTCCATAGTACTGTGAGTCCCAAAATGAGAAGATAAGACATGTCTGCTTCCCCAAAGCCAGAAAAAAATCCAGAAAAGTCGTCAGATAAACATGTAACACAAACAGAACTGCCTCTCCTGAGACCGGCCACTATCTCCAGTCACTGGACACAACAGAATGTCTCGATTTCATACATCTCCAGAAAAACCACTTCAGACCTTCTCACTCATGTGCTGTCAAGGATTTGCATGTTGAGCAGCTTGACGCGGTGCGAGAGAGGTTTGATGTGACCACACAGCGAGAGAAAGGGTGAGAAACACATCTTTTCCTGACAGGAAAATCACCGGATTTCCTCCACCGCATCGCCTCAGTGATGGTTGGGGAAGTCCATGTTTGTCAGCTGATAAGATTGCTGGACTCAGCAGAATTTGAAAACGGTACACTGAGCATTAGCAGATTTTTTTTATTTCACAGGGTCACATAAATAGTAAGTGCCAGCAGTGCTAGGGTTAGAGTTGAGGTCGACTTGTTATTAAAAGTGATAAACTTGTGAAAAAGGTATTTAAACAGTGACATTCACACATTTAGTAGTACTTTTATCTCAAATGTTTTATCTGTTGGCGTTTTCTATGGGAATCTAACTTGTGTCCTTGGAGTTGTTAGTGAAGTACTCTACTATTTGAGCTACTGGAATGATAAAATTAGTTTTTATATCTCTTTTATAACTTTTATATCTCTTTTTTAACTTGAAAAAGCTGTTTTTTTACAATTTTATTTCTGTGCACTTGTTGAAAACACCATAAATGTCATTTGAATGGCTAAATTCAGTTAGATTACAGTAGATTGAAATTGGAAAGCATGCATTCAATATACACTGAACAAAATTATAAATGCAACACTTTTGTTTTTCCCCCATTTTTCATGAGC